TTTGTCTGCGCAACAGCAGCAGCAGCAGCAGCAGCAGCAGCAGCAGCAGCAGCAGATACATATACACCTCTCCTGCTTCCTTTCTCCTTCTCTCTCTTCTTTCTATTTTATATTTTATTTCTATTTAATATTTTATTTATCTAATCGATACCCTTTTTATATTACTATATCTCCTACTGCTTCAACTGCCGCTGCTGCTGCTGCTGCTGCTGCTGCTGCTGCTGCTGCAGTTGCTGCTGCTGCTGCAGCGCATGCACTTGCCTGCAAGAAGGAGCAGCAGAGCCGGTGGGTGTTTAGTTTGTTTATGGATGCATTGCCTGGGTACTAAGACAAACTGAGAAGGAGACAAAGGGGAGGGGTGCAGCAGCAAACGAAAGTCACAAACAGCAGCAGAAGAACCCCGCGGGATTGTTGCATCCAATACATAACGCCCAGATATACTTTCATACTCCTCCTCCTCCTGCTGCTCCTGCTGCTCCTGCTGCTGCTGCTGCTGCTGCTGCTCCTGCTGCTGCTGCTGCTGCTGGGGTTGATGCTGCTCTGGCTTTTCCTGCTCCTGCTGCTGCTTCTGCTGCTGCGGTTGCTGCTCCTGTTGCTGCTCCTGTTGCTGCTGCTGCTGCTGCTGCTGCTGCTGCTGCTGCTGCTGCTGCTGCTGCTGTTGCTGGGTCTTGCTGCAGCAGGCTGCAGCTTCTTCTTGGGGGAGAGAAGGAGCCAGCCAGAGTGTATACCTCGCCCCCTGATCGACTGTCTTCTCTACTTTAACCCCTGGGGGTATTTTGAAGGGATAAGGTGCCCCGAAAGCAGCAGCAGCAGCAGCAGCAGGACCAGCAGCAGCAGCAGCAGGAGCAGCAGCAGCAGCAGCAGTGAGAGGTTTGCTGCGTGATAGAAGTTCTTCTGTTCTTTCCTCTGCCTGCTGCTTGATTGGTTTTCCGTTTTTACTGATTTCTTTGAGTCTGCGATGCTCTGTTGTGTTGAACTGAACGAGACGGAGAACAGCAGCATGCAGAGCTTCTCCTTGCAGGTCAGGTTCTTCTCTTTCTATTTTGTATTTTGTCTCTACCCACTGCATAAAGCTCTCATCGTCGCCAATGAAGGAACCCCCCTCCGTGTACACCACAGGGCCACCGCTGTGCAGTGCTGGGTCTGAGGTAGTTGTTGCAAAAGATATAGAAAAGAGGAAAAGTATACAAGAAAAAAACAGAGTCAGAGAGTATATAGAAATATATAGAGAGACATACACACACACATAGATACATATACAAACACAGACTAAGAAATAGATACAGAAAGAAACGCAGATATACATACAGATACAAACACAGAGATACCATATCATCTGACGTGAAAAAATAATATAAAAACTTTTTGAAGCCGCACGAAGCAACGAGCAGGCGGCGAGCAGAACGGGGTCCAGAGAGAGCCAGGGAGCAATGCTGAGCTGCTAGGAGTTGTTAGCTTCGAGTAAAAGCTCCCAGTTTGTATATTTGTATAGATTTCATAATATTTTCATTGCCTGCAAGACGGCCGTGCAGACTCACCGAGAGAGGGAAAGCTGCGGGCTACAAAGGCGAGGCGCTCGCGGAACTCCTGGGGTTCAAAAAGTTTAAATTTTGTGGAAACTGATGGAATAAGAATCTGAAGACGGTCTGCTAGTAGCTGACACCGGGCGAGTCGAGGGCAGTCGCAGCGGCCCTCGATGATGTATGTCGACATTTGTGAGGGTATTGGATCTGTAAATCGTTTAAAAAAGGCTTAACTAGATTTGTTTAAACATTTCTTTTCATTTCATTCAAAAGAATTTTCACATTACCCGCAAGAACCACGAAGATCGCCGAGGTTTCTCTTTCTGAGGCCTCAAGGCCATGCATGCGACGGTGGAGTCACCTGGCGGCACGATGGTCGATCTGTTGTGAATTTATTGTTTTTTTGTTTCAATATCTGCATAATTATAATTTTAAATAAAATATATTAATAAATTCAAAGATATTTCAGGCATGGAGCCACTGAAGAGGCCGTTTCTTGCGGTTTCCACTTGAACGCTGCGACCACCACCTGTACAGCTGAGCGTACACCTGAAAAAGTTTTGTATTACGAGTGAGAGCTTACTGAAACTCGTCTGAATTGTTTTTGTATTTGCAATGGCGACGAAGTTTGAGAGGATTCAAATAACTGACGAAAGTCATTTCAAGTCGGTAGTGAAAGCCACCGATGATCCGCGCCTCTTTATAGTCGATGTGTACGCCGCCTGGTGCGGCCCCTGCAACGCCGTGTTGCCTACCTTGAAATCTTTGGCTCTCACGCTCGAAAACTTCGCAGACAGATGCTGCTGCGTCGCAGCGGACGCGGCGCTGGTGCCCGAGCTCGCTGCCGTAGGCGCCTCCTCCACCCCCAAATTCCTCTTGTATAAAGAAGGAGTTGTTGTAGAACAGATAGACGGCGCCAACGCTCCTCTTCTGAAACAAAAGATAGAAGAACTCGCCCCGCCATTAGAAGGCGGAGGCATGAACGCATTCTCTTAAATCACGGAATGCTGCTGCTGCTGCTGCTGCAGCGTCGCCAGCAGCAGCAGCTGTTGCTGTTGCTGTTACTCTAGCTGCAGATATCTTGTATCTACATAATGCTGAAGCAGCTTCAAACAAAAGGGGTTGATGGAGTTTGGGAGACGAGGCAAACACCAAGCGA